CGATTAATCGCATCCAAAATAAAAGTTTTTGTTTACATAATATATGTGTGTGTTCTGTGTATAAATACACACACGTGCATGTATATATTTCAGAAAAATATGTTATGTTTATATATTAAATATATTTATTTATAATCTAAATTATATTAATATAAATATAGACATAAATATTTTCAAAATATATACTGTATGTTTGTGTATTTATATATACATAATAAATATACACAGAACACACACATATATTATGTAAACACAAACTTTTATTTTGGATGCGATTAATCGCGATTAATCGTTTGAGAGCACTAATTCTTTTAAACTATTCACTTATTTATACGTTTATACGCATTATATACAGTACCATTCATATTGTTTATCTCCATTCAGTTACGATTTTATTAGATTTTTTTATTATATATTACAGTAATATAATGTAATGCATAAGGATTACTAGAATCTTCTGCTTAGCAGAGGAAAATGTCTTAAGAATTCATATTCATCTATATATATATATATATAGAGAGAGAGAGAGAGAATTCATATCTATTATATTATACTCTTGCCTTCTAAAATAATAGAAAAGATCAAGTTAAAATCTTTTTAATATAATATAATATAGCTGATTGTGCACCTGTTAATGTGTGTATTTGTGTATATCTTTGCATGTGTTTTGCTGGATCAGTCTGCAGCTCCTCTGTTGGACTCCAGCGTTTTTCGTTCGAAGGTTGATCTGGGAAAGAAACGGAGCATAAAGCGCAGCAGACCGTCTCGTGCCGTCCGACAGAGAGCCGTTCTGCCCGCTCTGACAGAGGGAACGCAATCCGACTGGAGGTTCTGCGACTCCACAGGTGGGGTCAACACATCACATCATTTTACATCGAATTGTAACTCTGTGTCACATGATGTTACATTTTCAGCCTAAATCCTTTAGAATCTGTGTGACTCAACTGTAAAAACTCTGCACACCTTTGACTGATTGAACAAAAGCAATCTGTTACAGATGCGAAAGATCAGTGTTCCAATGGAGTGGACTCTGAATCAGATGAGGAACCGTCCCGGGACGTCACGTCCTCTCCAGCCCCAAACCAGCCCAAGAGAGTCCCTGTGTTTCCTGGGATGGACCCTTCTGCCCTCATGGTATGTCCCTGCTGGTATATGTCCAGTTTTGGATGCCTAACTAACTAAACCACCTGGGGTTAAGTTTAGGCTTAGGCTTGGTGAATTGAAAAGACCGTACTTTTCAAAAAGCCTATAATAAATTTAGTGTTGCAGTGACTCATGAAACACCAGTCACACCTTCACATAACCACACTCCCAGTTTCCATTTTTGACACACTGCTCTGCAGACAAAGCAACTTTATTTTACCCATCCATCTGAAATACACTACTGTTTAAAAGTTTGTGAGTAGCAATAGTGAAAAAAATGTTTTTGAGAAAGTTTTCTACTAACCAAGACTGCATTTATTTGACCGTAAATACAGTAATATTGTGAAATATCACTACAATTTCAAATAACGGTTTTCTGTTGGAATATATTTTAAAATGTAGTTTATTTCTGTGATCAAAGCTGAATTTTCAGCATCATTACTCCAGTCTTCAGTGTCACATGATCCTTTTAAGAAATCATTCTAATGCCAAAGAAACTTTTTTATCAGTGTTGAAAACAGTTGTTTTTAAGCATTATATCAAAGCCAGATTGTGATGTTTGTGGTTTCTTGTCTACTTATTTAAATCATATTTTGTTTATAACCTTTTTAGTAGCAGTAATTGTTTAAAATTATTTAATTACTAAAACAATCTATATAACTATAGTTTTTATGCCTCTGGTTTCAGTTGAAAATAAGATAACAGATTTTTTTTAATGATTTATTTTACTTTGGAGTAAAGTATTTTTAATGTTGGTCTGTGGCTATGCTGACAAACCAGCATAAATCAATTAACATAAAACATTAATTTCTAAGTTTGTCTCGTCTTTCTCTCGCAGGCCCAGCTAAAGCGGAGAAGTGCAGTGATAGAAACAGAAAGTCCAACAGAAGCAGTCCCCTCACGCTCTCCCCGCACACCCACCATGGCCCTCGGCCCCAGAGTGCTGCCCCCTGTTGACGCCAAGGACAGTGGGTACGTGTGACCAGAAACTTTTAGTAAAAAACTTTTATATTGCTTATGGAATGTGATGCAATCACATTTTCATTGTCAGATGAGTGCATTTTATAACTCTACAGAGCAGATTTAACTCTGTAAAGCCTACTGTATCGTATTTGATACATTTCTAAGGCTTCCAAATGATCAGCATGATCAAAACTTTACAGAAAAACCTGTTGTACACAATCTACTGCATGCCTTCTGTCGTCTGTTTGATAGCTCATACTTTTTAGCAAGTAAAAGGTGTTTTATTATAATTGTAAAAACGTCCACTTTCTATGGAAGCCCATTTCCGCCACTGAATAAAAAATAAAAAAAGGTTATTGCGACTTTTTATCTCACAATTCTGACTTTTTTCACAGAATTGTGAGATATAAACTCACAATTGCGAGTTATAAAGTCAGAATTGCAAGATATAAAGTCAGAATTGCGAGAGAAAAACTTTATCTCATATAAAAAAAGTTTATATCTCACAATTCGGACTTTATAACTCGCAATTGCGAGTTTATTTCTCAGAATTGCGACTTTATATCTCACAATTATGACTTTTTAACTTCTCAATTGCGAGTTTATATCACGCAATTCTGAGAAAAAAAGTCAGAATTGTGAGATAAAAAGTCACAATTACCTTTTTTGTTTTTTATTCAGTGGCGGAAACGGGCTTCCGTAACTTTCAGCTCATGGTTGACATGTTTTTTTTTTTTTGCTGTGAAATCTTTACTGATTTTTATGAAGTAAACGTAAGAATAACTTTCATATTGTTAATAATACAGTAGTCAACATTTGAAGTGGATCAAAACATTTCATCAAAGTTGAATCCTAAAACCTAAAACCAAAATGCGTTCTTTTCTTAGGACAACTTTGATTTTTTGATCCACTTCAAATGTTGACTACTATATTTATATATTATATGTATATATATATATATATATTTGATTATCCAGACATAAAAATGTGATTATCAAATATGATCATCAGGTTTTTGAGGAGCGTTTATTTGTTCATCTCTCAATCATCATTGTATTGCATTGCATATGTTTAGATCATAAAACTATTTAAATACCATCATTATTGGAGTGATAACTGATATTTATATGCATATTTCATCTTACTTTTAAGCCATATAAATATCAGCATCTGCACCAAATTGCATGTATTTGCTCCCTTTGGGCCTCTGAATAAAACTTAGGGTTTTTTTCCTCCATACACTGAAAAATGCTGGGTTGTTTCAACCCAACTTTGGGTCAAATATGGACTAACCCAACTTTTGGGTTAAAAATTGAATATAAAAATTTAACCCAACGGTTGGGTTAGTCCATAACTGACCCAAAGTTGGGTTGAAACAACCCAGCATTTTTTAGAGTGTACTTTCACTATATCATAATATATGTACCATAAATCCTAATATATCGGATATCATACAAATAAAATAAAATTAAACTCATAAAAATTCTTTTTAATAGTTTGTCCCAACGGTTCAGTAAACGGTTATAGACAGAAATAGATTTTTTTGACTATTATTTCATATGTCGAACTTTAAAGGATTCATTTTATAGTGCTGTTTCAATGTTTGTTTTATTGCTCTAATTATCCTTGATACACATTATGGTGCTTCATTTAGCACATTTGTCTGAATACATAATGATGAATTGAATAAGAATGATCTGAATTATGTCAAATGTAATAATTGTGATTAATGTAAATCTAGGTCCGGCTCTTCACCCTCCTGGCTGCTTGAGCTCAAATCCAAGAAGCGAATGAGTCAACCTGAGAGTGAAGCGTGAAGCTCAGGTCAGAGTATGTGCTGGAATCACCCGTCCAGTCCTCTGATTCCCTTTTAAAGGGGTCATCGGATGCGACATGCACTTTTACATGTTGTTTGAACTGAAATGTGTGTTGGCAGGGTGTGTACACAACCACCCTATAATGATAAAAATCCACCCAGTGGGTTTTTTTTTTTATCTGGTTAAATGTTTTCCCCTTTCTCAAATCGAGCCGATCTCAGATGCCTGTCTGTGTGACGTCACCATAGACTGTATAAAAACATGGACATAGTGTCCGTGACGTAACCCGTAGACTTCCGACGAGCGTTTTGAAGCCTAAAGTAGGCGGAGCCATCTAGCGGCCAGTTGATGAATTGCAGCTTAAGTCACTTCCTTGTTGGCTTCACCAGAGAGAGCAGGAGGTTGCGCTGGGACGTCACCCAGACCCAGGCCCCTCCCAAGATTGTTGATTGACACTAGCGTTTTACCTTAGACCCGCCCTGAATGAGTGCTCGTCACCCCATGGACGAGAGGGGGGCGGGGTGAGCAGAGCTCATTAGCATTTAAAGGAACATGCACTAAAACGGCTTGCTGTGAACAGAGCTGTTTCTGACAGGGTAAAAACGGTGTTGTTTTACACTACCATTGAGAATTTTTAACCAAACTATGTTACTGACTTTTCATTAAGACCCTAAAGAATCATATCAACTGGGTGAGCAGAGCTCATTAGCATTTAAAGGAACATGCACTAAAACGGCTTGCTGTGAACAGAGCTGTTTTTGGCAAGGTAAAAAGAGTGTTGTTTTACACTACCATTGAGAAATTTTAACCAAAGTATGTTATAGACTTTTCATTAAGACCCTAAAGAATCATATCAACTTGTGGAAAATGGGCATCCTATGACCCCTTTAAATAATTAGAAAATTTCCCTGAAAGCCCTGGAATATTTGCATGTTGCTCTCTTCATCTCCAGTAGAGGGGGACAAAATCCACATTTATATCACTTAATTTGGGTCTTCTCACAGTTTCAAGGTCCTTTACCCTGCTGTCTTGTTTCACAGGTCTGATGCGGTTTGTTGAGAGGAAGTCCTCTGCCACAAAGATGCCAAAGGAACTGACTTACACGAATGATCTTTCATTCTCATACTGACTGAGCATCAGACTATTTCAAGGACGAGTCCTGGACTGAACTGTTTGGAGGCTTTGCCAAGATGACGTCCTGTTATGCACATTTTTATTTTTACATGAAAGTCTGTCCTAATTGTTTGGCAGCATTATAGACGGCGTGCTTGAAAAGCAAGCGCTGTTCACTGTCAGTCTGGAACCAAGTTAATTTTACAGTTATTTAATTTTGTTTACATTTATTAATCCAACAGATCTTTTTATCCAAAGTGAGGTTGGTTTATCCATCGAGTTCCTCCAGTTCAATCAGTATAGCTTTATGCTACAATGCACTTTAAATAAGTTGGATCACTGGAAAAGGTGCCTTAGGGCTCTTGGGCATTTTATTGCATTTTAAATCAGAATTTAAATATTGTGTTTCTAAAACTTCTAAGTCTGATCTTAAGATGTTCATTGCTATATGAAACTACTTTTTCTTTCTCTAAATTGTTTTCGTTCTGTTTACAACATGTGCCATTCCAGCTTATAAACATCATTTGATTTTGTTCACTTCTTTTCTTTTCTTTTCTTTTTAATCTTTTATTTTCCATATTTTTTCTTTAATTAAAGCTCTAGTGAGCAGAAAAGCAACAGCTGATGTGCTTGGATCGGGCTGATTATCGTTTACGAGGTTTTGTTTTATTGCCAATGCCTTTACAGCAGGGGTGCCCAAACTCGGTCCTGGAGGGCCGGTGTCCTGCAGAGTTTAGCTCCAACTTGCCTCAACACACCTGCC